GGTCTACCTCGCTGTCCCGATCAACCAATCAACGTCCCCAATCTAGAAGTCGGCCAGAGAGCCGAAACCAATCCTCGGATGAGAGAATTGAACCGCCCCAGGATGTCAACACACCAGCCCAAGGTATCCGCGTCGTCCGGATTGCTGCTGGCTCGTCTGGCAATAAAAGTCGCCTCACCAACTCATCCAGTCACTCTAGGCGTTCAGATTCCCACATGGAACAGGACCACCCGGAGGAGCCATTCACAGTAGCACGCCACGCCGCCGGCATTAATCCCGGTAGTGTATCCCGACAAGCCTCCAATGCTGGTAGAAACACCAAGGCTGAGGACAATCTCGCACTCCAGGGCTCAATGCGCGTCAAGCGAGTCGGCAAGATTCCCGGAAGCTTCTTGAGCGGGCCCGCTCGACGTGGGCGCAGAAGGCAGAGTGAGGAAGAGGCGGAGGCTAATGGCGACGGCGATGGCGAGGCTCTGATCTCAAACCAGTATCACGACGGACACGGCGCAGACATGGAGAATGAGATGGCATCATCCTTCTATGGCAACGGCAGACAAATGTCATCAGGCAGTCCGGTCGCCTTGAGCGATCCTTCCAGAGCAACGTTTCGCAGGCCTGCGTCGTATGCTGAACCACCGGCCCCTTCTTCTGCGCGCCATTCTCCCCAGGAAAGAGGCGAGCCAGAAGAGATTCATTACAAGTTGCCTGCGCCGCGCCCTCAAGTTCCCTCCTCCCACGATCAGGAGAATGAGCCGGTTTCTATACTTCGAAGCACGAGGCCTACCGCCGTCAAGCCTGCCGAAATGGTCATGGAAAAAGTAGTCAGGCGCTCTATCAACCCCGAGGCTGCTCAACAGAGACCCGTGGCATCTCCCGAGCGCAAGCCTCTGGCTTCCCTGGCCAACAACACTCCGCGCCGTGCCGCTCCTCCGCCTCCGCCTAAGATGTCTGTTCTTGATGCTGCCACTACATCCGCAGGCGCGGCGACAACTACTCAGGGCAAGCAAAGGCGAAATATTCTTCGTGTCAACGGAAAGTCCTACACAAGACTTGACTGTCTGGGTCGAGGCGGTAGCGCTAAGGTCTACCGTGTCACTGCCGAAAACGGGGCAATGTTTGCACTGAAAAGAGTATCGCTGGAGAATGCGGACGAGTTGACTGTCCGGGGCTACAAGGGCGAAATCGACCTACTGGGCAAGCTGAGAGGCAATGAACGAGTCATCAACCTCTTCGACTACGAGATGAACAGTGAAAAGAAAATGCTCACTTTAGTAAGTCACCCTATGTTAGATCGTGATGGCATCGCTAACCCGTTCCCAGCTTATGGAAATGGGCGAATTGGATCTCCACACCCTGCTCAGAAGTCGCCAAAATCCCGAATCGCCTAAATTTGATTCTGTCTTGGTCCGCTTCTACTGGAAAGAAATGTTGGAGTGCCTGCAATCGGTACACCAGTCCGAAATTGTGCACTCCGACCTCAAACCAGCCAATTTCGTTCTTGTCAAGGGTCGCTTGAAACTCATCGATTTCGGTATTGCCAATGCAATTCGAACAGATGAGACTGTCAACGTTCACCGCGAAACGCAAGTTGGCACACCGAATTACATGTCGCCCGAGTCGCTCCTAGATTCCAACGCGCCTCGGGGCGGCCGAGTTCCTGGACGACCCAAGCTGATGAAAGTTGGAAAGCCGAGCGATGTCTGGTCTCTCGGGTGCATTCTGTACCAACTGGTCTACGGAATGCCTCCCTTTGGCCACATCAGCAATCAAATGGCAAAGTGCCAAGCCATCATCAACTGGGACCACGATATCGAATTCCCGTCCAGGGCCATGGGCGGAGTTCCGGTACCTCCTTCTCTGTTGCGAACTTTGAGGCGGTGTCTCAACCGTGACGTCGACATGCGACCTTCATGTGAAGAGCTCCTTCACGAGACCGATCCTTTCCTATACCCCAATGAGATGAGCGAAAAGGCACTTCCCATTGACGAAGAGCTCCTTGGTAGAATCATTCAGAGCGTTGTCTCGAGGTGTCGAGAACGCATGCCGACAGATGCGGAGGCCATGTCTGTGTGGCCGTCGGCTTACTGGACCAGTGTCAAAAAAGCAACGAATCCGAGCAGGTGATGAAAGCGTATGAGCATTGTTGTTGGATTAGGCGTCATGGAGACATTACTTGGGTTTAATGATCATCGGAATATCCATAGCTCGGAGTTTCTTGGGCTGTTTGTTTTACTTCTTGTTCAACTGCTTCGTGCAGCCGTTTTCTTCTCCGCCACTGTTTTCAATATTGATTCCCTAGGCTTCGGCCTTCCCCCATGATCGGGCACCTTTTTTCTGGAGACGCGGACATAGATAATGCGTCTTATCAATTGTACCAAAGCCTCTTGGCTTCAACATTTTCGGCGACCATGAAAGTCCCCAATTCTACATGACGTGAATGTATTTATTTGTCTATTGGTACAGCCCCGGTGGGGAACGATACAAGGACATGGAATCATACCATCCATGGCCTACTATTCCTGATTCATACTCGAACAAGCTTGCACACCCCCCCAATCCTGCCTCCCTCAAGCCTCAATTTCCTCGGGCGCATTGATCTTCAGCTCGCTAACCGTCAGAATCGTGTACCGGTGCTTGCTCTTGACCGTCTTCACTTTCCTCTGCCTCCTCTTCGTCTTCTCCTTCATTCTCATCGGCTCGCTCTCCGTGCCCGTCACTACGGCACGGCACTCATATACCCGCTCGTCGATGAAGGGTGAGCCCTTGAGGGTGTAATCTCTGCTACCGATGACCGAGGCACGGTTGAGGCGCAGGACGTCGCCGGGCACGACGCCGGGCATCTTGAAGGGCAGACGGACACTGTCGCCAGGCTGAACGAGGTACGGGCGTCCGTGGATGTGGAAGGTGATGTAGTGGTTGGGCTGGGCCGCTAGGAAGGGCAGCGCCGCCTGCACGGATTCGGAGATCGGGGTCGTTGCGGACGGCGTCGACGTCTGGGTGGCGCTCTGGGCGGCCTGTTTTGCTATTGAAGAGGTTTGCGCGGCGACGGGAGACGCATCTTGTGCGGCTGCGGCGGGCTCGATGATGGGTGCCGTGGAGTTGAAGCGGCGGGCATGGATCGGGAGGAGGAAGGTCGGCGGGAGGCGCGTGATGGGTGTCCTGAGCTCCAGGACGGAGCGCAGCAATGTGCGACTCATCTTTTGATGAATGTGGTTCTTGAAATTGGTGGTTGTCGTTGGACAGAGAGAGACAGTTGGACCTCGTTTGTCGGTCCAATTGTTGGTCTCACGTTCGTCGACTTTAGCTTTCTGCGCGACTGGAACCCGGCCAACACGAAGCTTCAAAAAAGTTCGGATAGACCTGGAGTGCAGTTCCTTGGGGTGTTCGGAAAATGTGTTGCTCCGCTGATGCAAGCAGGGTTATTGGCGCCTGCCCGTCTGGACCTTGAAATTTGGGGTCGGACCCCACATCGCTATCGATATGGGATTTTTTTTTTGGGCTACCCGCCACTTCGACGGACGACGACCCTGAGGAGCTTCGCTGACTTCAACACGACGAACGACCAAACTTCGTCCAGATCAGCAACCCCATCTTGTAACATTGCAATCCCTACGGGCGCAAATCATTCAAGATGCCTCAGGTGAGTAGCTTCTCCCCGCGCGGCTCTCTATTCTCATGCATGGTACTGACAAATTCGCGAACAGAACGAGGTACGATATGCCCTCCGAAGGGCCTCTCCGTCTCCCAATCTCGGTTCGTGCTAACAAAGAAAATCAAGTATATGGAGAGATGGCGCAAGCTTCATGGTCGGAGGTTAGAATCTTGAATACACTCAGGGATATTGACGAGGGGAGGGCTGACATTCGACTTTTCTCAGACTCGATCACGAGGAGAAGGCCCGCAAGAAGGAGGCTCGTGAGGGCCACAAGGCGTCCAAGGATGCGCAGAACCTGCGCGGTCTCCGCGCCAAGCTTCACGCAAAGAAGCGCCACAACGAGAAGATCCAAATGCGCAAGCAGATCAAGGCCCACGAGGAGCGCAACGTCAAGACCAATGACGAGAAGGAGCCCTCCGAGCCCATGCCCGCATACCTGCTCGACCGAAACAACCCGAGCAACGCCAAGGCCATTTCTTCTCAGATCAAGAATAAGCGTGCCGAAAAGGCTGCCCGTTTCCAAGTTCCCTTGCCCAAGGTGAAGGGTATCTCTGAGGAGGAGATGTTCAAGGTCATCTCCACCGGAAAGAAGACGCACCAAAAGTCCTGGAAGCGTATGATTACGAAGCCAACTTTTGTCGGACCCAACTTCACCCGGAGAGACCCCAAGCACGAACGGTAACTAATTCCTACGCCTTTGGCGCCAATTTGGCATCTTGAGGATCTCTGCTAACGAGGTGCTTTTCCAATATCAGATTCATCCGTCCTATGGGGTATGTGACCGGAAGCGCTCTGTCTTCTCCTCCTTTTTACTGACAATGATCTCTAGTCTGCGTTATAAGCACGCGCACGTGTGCCACCCGGAACTCAACGTAACCGTAAAGCTGCCAATTTTGGGAGTCAAGAAGAACCCTCAGAACCCTCTTTACACGAATCTGGGTGTGCTCACGAAGGGAACTGTGTTGGAAGTCAACGTATCGGACATGGGCCTTACGACAGCGAGTGGCAAAGTGGTCTGGGGTAGATACGCGCAGGTGACAAATTCACCGGTAAGTGAAATTCCATCGAAAAGCGCGGCTATTTTGCTATTTTGGCTGCTTCTTTTGGCTGCTTCCACGAGCTCAGTGTCAACTTTGTAATATGAGAAGCTAATCGCGCTGTGTCCCTCAGGAGAACGATGGCTGCGTCAATGCGGTCTTGCTCGTCTAGATGGAAAGAGGAAGAAAATCAAGGCTATCGCGCAAGTGGTGTCGCATAATGGCACTGGGTCACAGCCGGAATGCCGTGCCTCTACTGAAACGTGGAGCGGAAAAGTCTCGGAGGTGGTGGTATTTAGGGTAATCAAGTCCCAGCTGGCGTTAAGGCGTTCTGTCACCTCGTGTAAGGGGGGAATGGGTGGATGCCCGTGAGTGACAATATGAAAAAATTCCAACCTAGGTAGATGAAACAAGATTCCCATTTGTAAACTGGCAGGCAAAGGATGACTTGGGTGACGATGGTGACTGCAAGGTATGCGCTGCTTGCAATGCTTGCAATGAGAGCACTTTTTTATCCCGTTCCTTCGTTACCCACGGCCAGCCAGCTTAGTATCTGGATTTCACTCTCCCCGGCCCCAATAGGATTGGCCCTCCAAGGCTTGAGCCCAATCAGGCACGATTCCTCCCAAGGATGAGATCTTGCATCCGATAGAGCCGGATCATAGAAGTTCTTCTATACAAGGTCTCGTTTGTGAAGGCCCACAGTCGAGGAAACGGGTAGTAACGGGGATTTCTTGTCTAGAGTATAAACGAGATATGCCGACGATGGAGGAATCTAATCACACTTACTGCCTGAGCCAAATCGCCTGCGACTGTGTAGGAAGCGGGCTGCGGGATTGAACACATAGCAAGACAACCACCTAGCCAAGATCCGTTCACGCACCACATTCGTAAGCCCGGGGCATTTTCAATATTCTCATTCACTCGAGTTCGAAACCAAATGCCTAGGGAGAGCAGCAAGCAAGAAAAGCAAAACGAAAACAAACATGAGCTGCCTGTGGCATTATGTAGGACCACCAAATTCGAACTCGCGTTCGCTTGCCGAAACCAGGCATGCAACCATCCACCGCTAGGCCATATACACTTCAGGCGGTGCTCATGCCTTCCTCTTCAACTTTCGTTGCCTATGACTGTTCCCCTTCCTCTCACTGCTGGAATAAGCACAGGTGATGTCTTTCGAGTCCTGCGAGTATTCATCAGGCAGGCATCCGATGGGCCCTTTCGAGGGTGGATTTTAGTTGCGCGTGATAACTCACTAAATGAACGGCAGTGATTGCTGTGGCATTTCCATGAGCCTGTAATCACTTCACCTTTTATCTCATGCGATGTAAACGAATATTTGCGAGATTCGAGTGGCTAGCTGCTTGTGTGAATGGAAGCTCTCGCGAAAAGGGGCATATCGCCCTCGCACTTCGATCCGGTTCAAGGCAAGCCAGCGGTGTTCAACCTCTCCGCCTCGTTACTTTCCAACTGCAAGCAAACCATTGTCATGAATCATGAAATTCTGCCCGTTAAGGCGAACACGCGAGATAGCTGGACGCCCTGTACAATGGCGCCGTCACGAGTCGGGCATCATGTGCGACTGCGAAAGATACAAATTAAAACACCCACAAGAACAGGAAAGAGATATCGATAACGTGACGGCTTGCAAACACTGAACCAGAGATTGGCAACGCTCTATCTACAGAAACAGGTCGTCCAGAAATAAGTTGAGTACGGAACGTATCGATAGAGGTATACAGGTGCCAGGGCCAGGTCAGTTCCTCCACACCATGAGAGGACTCAGATCCTTCGAGATTCTTGTCCTCACACTTTTCTTCGCCGGCAGTCAGATGGATGTTCATCCGTCTATCGATTTTGACTGAGAGAGCGGTCTTGGATAGATGATTTACTCTTTTGACGAAACCAGCAGCATCGTAGACAAGTTGTCTTATGATGAGACACTCGTGATAATTTTCATGCTCCGCCGGCACAGAATGCGCAACGCCCTACAGCGGAACACCCATCCGCCTCTCGTTTTACGCTGAGGCACCTCGGCCTTTGGTCGAGGTGACATCAGAGAGCCTTGCCACGCACTGATACTTTCTGGTGAATGAGCGGAATGGCCTCCAAACATATCCCTGGAGCTGTTTCTGTGTTTCCTTGTGACGCATACGTCGTTGATCTATAGAAATAAGGTAGCGGAATCCCTGGCGGTCACCGTTCTCGGCACGAGAGAAAGATCGCGCAGCTCTGAGGAAAGAGATTTAGTTGAGTTACGCGTCAGATTATGCTGTATGATCTTGCTAATGTATCATAGCTGAATTGATTTCTATATGTGTCATGTAAGGGACGTACATTTGTTTCATACCTAAGCGATATGCCTAGATATCCATCCTCTCGGGTTAAATTTAGACTGAGTTCATTGCTAAAGCCCCTTGCTTGAAGCTGACGTACGAAGAACTCTGTATCCATCTATACCCTCGAATCAACAAAGCTGCACACTACAAAGTACAACCAAAACAGCTCTAACTACTCCGTCCACGCCTCTATCAAAGTATTCCTCACAGAATACCCACCTGCCAAGGCAGGACGATGCCTTTTGTCAACTTTAAACCTCCGCCTTGACTGCTCTATAAAGATCGGAGAGATTATGGGTATGAGATATACTCAGTCGACAGCAGTACGACTACCTCAGGGAAGAATGGGTGTCATGTAGGCTTCACGCGGGAAGCCCCATGTCGCCTTGTCATATCCGAGGTCTGACGCGCTGGGAAGTCGGCCTTTTATAGACTACTGGGCCGTAAACCAGGGCATTGAGGGGGAGAAGACCAGCGTGCTAGGATACTTCAAAGCACTAGCGAGAACGGCATCGAAAGACATTGGCGGACACAACGCTGGGGTTCATCTACTCTGCCGCGCCAACGCATATTTCTATTCAACAAAACGCGACCCGAGTAAAGAGGCCAGCTTTCACCCTGACTCCTACAGAAAACCGTGGCAGTATACCCACGCCAGCCACTGAAGCATCGACTTGGCCCATTAAAGGCCCGTTTTCATCTCAAAGAAAGGAGGGCTTTGCGAATGCAAGCTATATAGTACAGACCATCAGTATAAAGTTATCTTTTGCATACCAAGGACCTCCAATCATCAAGATAAATATCCCCGAATTCTTTTATACCAGAACCCCGGGCCCCTTGATGTACTTCACGGTAAGAATTCTGGTCCAAAAAAAAAAAAAACCAGACTCGTACAGGTCCGAGTTCTCCAACCGAAACGCGTTCTTACCTTTGCGTAATGAAGTAGCTAAAACGTGCTTCAACCGGGACCATTACCAATATCGGAATCATCAATCACAAACATGTATGGCACGGGCAGGTTGCTCAATATTGATTCAGAATGTTGTGTCTCATTGGACTTTGATTTGTTTGGGATATATCCTTCAATACCTGTCTTCCTCTCGATCCCTTTCCTCGGAATCCAACAAAGCAACAAAGATTGGCATGTGTGTGTAATGCGACCCGAACAGTTAGAAAAATGAAACAATCCGTCCCGTGTTCCCCGGTTTGTGACGAACGTAAAAAGAAAAGAAAAAAGTCAAGGAGACAAAGTTCTCAAGGGGGGGCAGAAGCTCCCTTGACAAGTCTCGAAACGAAAAACAGTTGCAAGCCCTGATTCCTCACACACATCCCTTGAAGATCCCGAATTGAGAGGGAGTTTGGTTATCCGCTCTTTCCAGTTTGACCCCAGAAAACGCCTTGAAACAAGAAAAAGTGACGACGAGTAAGAAAGGAAGAGATTTAAACTATCATTACTTTGATGATGTGGTGGTTCGAACAATACTGACGGTGAAGAAGAGCAAAAGCCACCTGAGCTTGGGAGAGAAAAGTTCGGAAATTGCTCTGGGGCTGCGAAGACATGAACACGAGCACCGAAACAGAGACGAAAAGGAGGGCTCGTTCAAGAGCTTTGGGGAAAGCAACCGTCGGCTTGGACGGATTCGTATAATGCTGTGGCGATGCAAGGGATTCCGCCATGAATGAAATGATAAGCCCGCCTCGTGAGGTTGCGAGGGACGAGCTAGTCAACGCCGTACTTTTTGATGTTGCTGTTATTGCTGTCATGCGGAGAGAAAACCGTTCAGTATTCTTCTCCGGTTCCATATCGTAACTTTCGTTGCCGTGAAAGAGATACGCAATTTTTGTGTATGAATGCATTCGAGTGTTGAGAGCAAGCATGGCGGATATAGTAGACTAAATATATTTAGCCGAGCTTTCTGAAGCCTTCGACTGTGAGCATCGGGACTTCCACATCGCTGAGGCCAAGAACGCCCTCATCCCGTCTGCGATCGACGAAGCCGTTGCATTCGGCAACGACGATGCTCCACTCGGCCAAAGCGCGACCGGCGTAAACGGCGCGCTTGACGTAAATGCCCGTCGGGCGAAGGGGTTGCGTAAGTGGCTCGGGGCCGGTCCTACGGCTTCCAGACTTGGACAGATGAGGCCGTTGCTGAGCCTGGAGCACAGCATGAGCCTGGGCCATGGCCTTGGATTGCGGGGGTTGAGCTACAGGCTCCGACGGCTGCTGTGCCTCCTCCTCGGCCTTGCTCTCGGTAGGCGACGAGGCCGTTGATGAGTCGGAAGACACGGATGAAGCAGATGACTTCTCTGCACTTTCAAAATCGAAGGTCATCAGCTCAACGTTCGGGTTGTTCTCAAAGTCGAACTTGTTGCTGAGCCTGCGCACGAGAGAGGATGACGACACCGCGGTGACCGAAGACTTGCGCTCGAGGGTGGGGGAGGCGAGAGGACTGGCGTTCCTGGCTTCATCGACAAGGCCCTTCTTCTTGGAGCCAGAGACACACCGTGTGGGGTCGGGAAGACCAGCAGCAGGCGGAGGAGGGGTGCTGCCACTCCTCGAACGAGAAGTGACCCAGGCCTGCGCCGGGGCGGGGAGGCGCGGGCGAGTAAGGATACGATCGCGAGGCTGGGCGACGGCAGGAGGCTGCCAGGTCAGCGTGAACTTGAAGACGAATTTCTGCTCCATGAAGATCGGCGAGGCGCCTGGCGAGCTGCCGTCGGACGACGTCGTGACAGCTGAGGCTGATGACGTGGAAATCTTGGGAGGCAGAGGCGGGCCTCCTTGACGACGTTTGGAGAGAGTGGCGGACTTGGACGGTGTCGCTTCCTTGCGCGAAGACTCATTGTCCTCGCTATCTGAACCGTTGCCACCCAAAGACAGCACCTTGCCAAGCAAAGACCAACGCTTCTTGCTGTTGTCAGGCTTGGCAACCTCCTTGGTTTCTGTTGCTGGCGTTGATGACATGACTCCCTCGCCATTGACAATCTTAGAGAACGAGTCGAAGGGCTGGTTGAAATAGCCTGGCTGCGGGATGTTCACTTCCGTACGGATGATCATGAATTTCTTGCCCGGCGTGGGCAGGCATGGCGATGTCGAGGGCGGAAGCCTCCCTGCGGCATCGGCGGCGTTGCGGAGGAAGAGGTAGTGGGCCCAGACAGTCTTCAGTCTCGCTGCGGCAACAAGGAAGATTTCACTGTGAACGTCAGTAAGTCTAATTGACATGCGGGGGGTATGGCACAACTCACGCGTCAACCTCGTTCGCGCTGCCGCCGTCACGACAGATACGCCAGCAGAGCAGGCGCATGTAGTAGCCGCGCACCATCGGGCACCAGTGGTTGAAGTAGGTGTCAAACGTTTCCTCGGAAAGCAGCCAGTCCAGACACAATGCCTTCTTCCGTTCGGGGTTTGCCGTGACTGCTTCCCAGGTCGAGAAGATAAAGGACAGGAGCCGGACTTCCGTCATAGCGTTGTCGGAGATGAGCATCTTTCTGCAGACATTAAGCCAAAAAGACCAGTCGATACTCTTGGCGATATTCGGGTTCTCGAGATCGTCGAGCTGGTCGTAAGCCACCAATGCCTCTTCCAAGAAATCACAGAGCGTGAACACGGCGCTGTGGTCAAAAGCGGACACGCGGCGGGTCGCAGCACGAGTCACAGACAGGAAGGCTTCGGCAAAGGTTCGTCTTGCGGCAGCAATGACTGGAAGTGATTCGCCCAGAATATCCTTCAACAACACAATGAGGCGATTCTCGGCCATGTTCTTCAACAAGTTTCCTGGGATGGTCATCGCGGTCGCTGCGGCATCGGCGCCGTAAAACGAGTCTGTTGGCATAGGCGGGTTGTATATCGCATCGACTTCGGCCTGGCGGTGGATCGTGGACTCAATACACGCAAGAACCTGCGCCTGTACCAGTATAAATCCTGGCGATCGCGCCTTCTCAAGCAGGGGGAGGCCTTCGGGCATGAACTCCTCAGACAAGATGTGGTAATACTTGCAAAAGATGAAGAACAAGTCAGTATCACCGCCACGCCATCGCGTCACCCAAGGGCTGAACCAAGGAATCCTCGCCGCCATGACGGAAAGTTTCACTCGTTCCTTGAAGCGAGCGCTAATGGTCTTTTGCGATTGCCAGCCCAATACGCCCACGTTAGGTGGGAACAGGGCCATGATGTCCTCGCTCTCGCCACCATTCTTTTTGGGCAGTCCAAACTCGTCAGCCGTCCTTCGAATGAGCTCAGGTCGCAAATCCCACAATCGGACGAGGATCTCAGCGACGGACGGGCAGAAAAAGAACGCGTACGCGCATGCCTTACCGCACCAATTGACGAGACTGAGAGGTGCGTGCCGGAGCGACATCTTTTCCACCACGATTTGCATCTGCTTCATGAGGTTGCTAACAAACATGGTTCGCACATTGTGCTCGGCGGATTCGGCGAGGAAAGCTTGGCTCGAAGCCTGTGATGAGTCTGCTGTGGACTGGGTCCCCGATCGCGGTCGGACGCGTTCGTTTGGTGAGCGATCCACCAACGACATGAAGTACGTCGTGGTTTGTCGCCATTCTGGTCGCATCATCAGCATCGTCAAAGCCTCCAGTAGAACCGGCCGGTCCACGCCAGGGAGCTGCTGGCCCTGACCGTCCAGCATATCCAGCAAACCAGTCCACCACTTGTTCAGCACAATCGCCCTCCGCTCAACATCTTCCAGAATGAGTCCCTTGTTGGTGATATGGTTCATATAGGTTCGCAAAAATGGCAACAAGGTTACACGCACGGAGTGCATGCGCTGGGCCATGGTTTTGGTGGCGAAGCTTCCACTCTCGGTGTCGAGCGACCTGAAAACGGACCAGATGGTGTCCTTGTTGACCGACATTTCGCTCATCAGAGACTCGTCCGTTGCTGTTGTTTGGGATTCGGCGAACGAAGCTGGTTTCGACTCGGGCTTTTTGATCTTATTACTATTACTATTGTTGTTGTTGCTGCTGTTTTTGGTCTTCTTGCTGGGCTGATCGTTTTCAACAGCGGGTTTGGGCGGAGGCAAGCTCAGTGAAGATGGGGGCAAAGCATTCGTATCGATTTCGGTGTTTGATCCCAGGGTAATGAGCATGCTTTTCGGTCGCTGCTTGATCTTTGTCAAGAAGGTGCTGGTTCGGTTCAGGGTGCGTGCAGGCTTTAATGATTCGACACTCTTTGAAGCGGCAGTCTCTGTGTCGACTAGCATAGATACCGGCCTCTTGCGGGTCGAGTCCACACCCTTGATGTTCTCGTTACTCGGGGCCCTGCTTCGGGAAGGGCGAGAAGACGGTGGAGCTGGAGGGTCTGGATTTCGCTTCGGGGACGGGGAACGGGATGTGGACATCCATGACTTCTTCGCAAAGGTAGCAAAACTCTCCGAGACCGTCCTGGGGCGTTCTGGCTCGAGAGGTCGCGTCGGCGGTGTCGGTGCTACGGGGGCGGCAGACGTCGCAGCAGAAGATGCAGCACTCACGTGGTCTCCGGCATGAGTGCTGGGTCTTTCGGGCATGGCGGGTCGTTCGGGCACCGGCGGCTCCTTGAACTTTGACGGTGATCTAGATGTTGGTAGCCAAGATTTACGTCGCTCCATCAACGAAGCCCTCCTCCCCCTCTTCTGCAGCTTCTCGGCATCTTTGTCCTTCTCCTTCTGTTTTCCATCTCTCGTGTTCTCCTTGTCCTCCTCTTTTGGAGGTTTCAACAACATGGCTGGGTCTGGTCGTGCCGCGGCGGCTGCGGCTGCGGCCGCCTGCTCTTGAGCAGTAGCTTCCTTGGACTTGCCGTCGAGGTAGAGGTTGGTGTTGAATTCGGGAAGGGTGTCAAAAGAGGGAAGCTCGAATGCAGCTCGTCCCTGCACGCTCGAGCCTTTCTGTTGTGCGGGTGCTATTGTTGTTGATGTTGTAGACGCTGCTGAGGCGTTGTTACGGTCGTCGGAGGTATGGGATCGGTGTAGGTAAGAACCATTCACTGGTTGGACAACGGCCGGAGCCATCGTCAGCGTTGGGCCTTTCATCTCATGGCAAGTCGCACCAACACAATTAGAGAGGATTCCTCTGCCAGTACACACAAGTACAGAGACAGAGACAGAGCAGCAGGTGCAAGTGTCGGTGCCCGTGCCGAGCTCTGGTGGGCTGTTATTTGCGATCGCGCGGGCAACAGTGACCTAGAGCATGCAGTTGCGACTAGGAATGCAATGTACGAGGGTCGATTTGGGTTGGGTAAGGGAGAAGGGCCGGAATGCTCGGTGTGTCACGGTGGCACGACGTCTGCTGTCTCCCAAGTTAAGGTATGTAGTAAGGCGGCCTTGTGAGATAAGGTGTGGTTAAGGTCAAGTCAAGGAATTCCCCCTCAATTGGACATGACAAAAAAACCTGGGGTGTGTACAGGCAAGGAAAGGTGTTTCTTTGGATTTGGGTTTGTCGGCGATCGGTATGGTAAGGTATGCTCTGGGCCGGCAGAGGGAGGGAGAAAAGATACAAGGCGGCAAATGGACGGGAGGGTTCGTTGGTTGAGGGTGGGCGATCCAGGGTGTGGATAATGAGATATGAATAGTATCCGTTCGGGGTCCGTAGGAATAAACCGTTCAGGTTCTCGAGACAAGAAAGAACAATCGAGGCGGAGCCGTAAAACGAGCGAAAAAGGAACGAACGACTGGTGGTGAGGCGAGGCGACCAGCTGCTTCTCTTGCGTCCCTTCTCAGGTATAAACCTTGATCTAGGTCTGTCTGGGTCTAGGTCTTGTTGTTGGTGGTGGATGTGGTGGTGGTTGTGCGGGTTGTCTGGGTTTTTGCTTTCCTGGTTCGTTGCAAGGTCCAATCCAGCGGCAGCTTCGTCGGGGATCAACTGTTGACGCAAGGACAACGCAAAAAGAGGAGGCTGCTGTGTACGGAGTACTGTGTAATGTACGGAGTAGTGTACACGGAGAAATCCCAAGGTCGAGCGAGGGTGTCTGAGCAGCGAGCAGGACTGGGAAATCTGAAAGTTGGTGTAGCCGCAGCGGGAGGTGACGGTCGGGGTGAAGGGTTCCCTGTCCAAGACTGGAGCGGGAACGTTTCAAAGTGAAAGAGGGCGATAAATAGCGGAGCTGGGAATATTATGATGGCCTCCACCTTTTTTTCTGTGTCGCCAGGGAACGCGCGCTGCTGTTCTGATGCGACAGGAGAGAAAAGACGGTAGATGCTAAGATGATGCAAATTAAACGCCTTTCCGGTCACCGGGCGAGACAAGGAAGCTTGTTGGAGCCTTGGAGTAGGGAAGGAGAAAGAATTGTGCAAGAGGGTCTTGGACTCGATGGATCGGCCGATATCCAATGTCTCATGAGGATGAGGCAAATGACAAGAAATAACGAGAGAAAGCTGACAGCCTGGTAGACAGAGTGACAGCAGACAAGGTAGCGAGAGTGGATTGGTAAGAGTCGTTCGTTTGCCTACGGTACGGTAGCGAGCGAAAGGGATGACGAGATGTCAGAAAGATCTTTGGAAGGAAGGATAGGCACACAAGGGAAAGCTTCAAGGTCCAAGGCAGAAAGAGCGAGAGAGAATATTGCAGGGACGGATCGAACAATCGGGAGACGGGAACACGACGGACGGGGGAGGTACGGGGGTACGGGGGCAGCGGCCACGGACGGAGGAGACGCAGACGCAGAGATGCAGCAAGTAGGTACCTTAGCAAGTCACAAGTAGCGAGTAGCAGTAATAATAGAAACCAGGAGCGCACATAATACGTCAGTGGGAATCAGGTATTAGCAACTGGAGTAGTAATATTACTCCCACTATGCCACATACAACGTACCTTACGCAGTAGTCCCTGGGAAAGTGAGGTGAGGGTACGGACTAAAGGTACATCACCGTACATGACATGGCAGAAGAAGTGCCATGTACTGTACCTCCCTCGTCTTGGCACTGCTCTTGTTCGATAAGTCTCTTGCTCTTATTCTCATTCGTCCTAGATCATGGTGAAGTCTGCCTCTATTACCTATTTGATCGGAAGAAGCAGTCGAAGACGAAGAATATCCCGCTAAGCCACCAGATTCTAATACACACAAGAAGGTACGGGCGGCCAATGTCAGATTCAATTTCGTTCAAATCCATCAGGTTGGTCCGCCTCATGTACAAAGATCCTAAGAATTGAGACGTTCAGCTTTCCCGCCGCGGCGCCGCCCTCCCTGAGGTACACACAGACGCCGCACCCTGCCTAAAGCAGCTCGGCAGCACAGCGGCACGTTAAAAAAATTCAGGAGAAATAAACGTTAGGTCGCCTCCCGTCCGGTCTGATGTGGGAGAATAAGACAAAAAACGGACTAATGCAATTCACTCCCTTTTTTTTTTTTTTTTTTCCCTCTTCCCGCGCGAAATGTTTGAACGCGTGTGAGATGTGCGGCCGTGCAACACTTCCGTCGCCAAAATACCTTACAAAAAAAAAAAAGTAAAGGTGTTCATCAATGTACCTGTACATGTGCCAACGAAATCCCAACCTCCTCGCTTCCCGTATCTCTACGGACTACGGTACGGATAACAGGATGGATCGAAGCTAAACGGGGTGACGAGGGGTGGGCTCCTCTCTTTTGGCGCGTTGGATCATGGATTCCATGGTCCACGGATGGGTTTGACGGGGTGGATGATCGCCGCAACGCCAGCGCCAGCGGGGATTAATACGAACGAGGGTACCCGCCTTTTCCCTCCCCTTTCTACCAGTGCCGTCCCAGGAAAATCAGAGACAACTAGAAAAAGACAAGAAAACCTGCCTTGGCCCACGGCAGCTCTGCTGACCGAGCGAGACACGAGATGCCTGCAAGGAGCGGGCGGGGGAGAGAGAGAAGCTGTTCATTGTGTGCCTCTGATCACAGTGTTCCCGTACTCGTACCAACTCGTACTCAAACGCCCTCCATTGTTCCGACTTTTGTTCATCAGCACATGTGCCCAGCTGTTCAAACGAACCACTAGTCATTGTGCACATTCCAACCAGCACGTACCTTAAACATGATACCGCACCTCCAAGTCTCTAGACCCTATTAAGTATCAGTAGGAGACGCGCTCTTACTCTTTCTCAAACGTCCCTAATCCCATCCCTCTTCGCGACGAACTCGAGGGACCGATCTGACCTGAGTCTGAGACCAGTGCGCGCTCAATCCTCCCACTACACCACGTCAGTCGTCTTTGAAGTTTTAGAGGGGGAGAGGGGGATCTACCCGCGGGACGGATGGCTTGTCTTTCAAGCTTGTTCTACCTTTTCCACCCCCTTCAGAGAAGCCCCTGGCTAAGACTAAAGCGTTCACGCTTCGGCGGCCGGTCCCATCGGCTCTTCACTGAGCTCTCAGCGGTGTCTCACCGATCGGGAGGGGATTCGTCCAGCGTTTTCTTCGGTTTTTGTTCTGTTCTTGCTAGCCTTCGCGAGGGCGGTACGGCGTTTTAGTGTACAGGGCGCAACGCTAGCAGCTGCTGTCCAACTCTCAAAATTGACATTGGCCATTGGCAAAAGCCCCTGAGTTAGTAATCCATTCGGGACGCACTGAACATTCTGAACGAACGTGTCGAACGGACGGGCGTGATGCGAGTCGCGCTTTCTGCTGCATGATAGCTGACACCTGCAAACGCTCGACCGTCAAGTCGAATTTCACTTCCCCCGTCTCTCTCAGGCCGCCAAGTTCCAACAAAAGTGTTCGGGCGATTCTCGCCTGGCCTTGTCCTGGGGCCTCCTGGCTCAGCGCACAGCAAGGCGAGGGAGCCTAGGAGGCGCCAACACCTGAGGGAGATCAAACGAGTCGACCGTTGCTTGACCCGCTTCGCTTCATCGGCACTCGGCAGGGTACCGTGGACGCTGGACAAGAACGCCGCAAGTATCACGACTCGCAACACATTTCGGGTTGGACGCATGGCGTGCGTGGGGGGCTCCTTTCTCCAGCCCACGGTGCCATCCTGCTGTAATTCGGCCGACATTGAAGCGCTGCTGCTGCTGCTGCTGCATGTGCGCATCTGCAGCCAGATGGAAGGGCCCTGCAGGCTGCAGACAGGAAGAAACGCAGTAAAAAGCGGCAGTTCCAACTTTCAAGCCAGGACGGATGGGCAAGCAATTGACAAGTGTGTTAGAGTCGCCTGACAAGATGTCCGATCCGGGTTTGATCTTGTTCCCGCGCCTCCGACCAATTTACACTTTGTGCATTCCCACTAGTGAAAGCGCCTCGAGCATCGAGGGTAACGGCGGTAATGAAATTGTACGCCCCGTTCGACTCAAAGTTCCGCTTCTGGCGTTTGCCAACGCGCCACATTATTCCCATCTGAGGAGTCGTAGCTGTTTGGCGGCCCATATTCGAGTAGCCAGGCGCGCGTTACCGGTACGCAGGGGCCAGCAATTCCCGGTGTTCCCATTGTCCTTTCAGCTGTGCAGGGCCGTCGCCGTTGGAATTCGCGGGAGGATATCCCGTACCCCAAGGCACAAAAAGACAAAAACTTTGTTCTCCCTCCACATATGAACGATAGTCGGGGAGAATGAAAGCTGTCTCGGCTCATAATGCTGAAGTACTGGCTTGTGCCATCGTCATATGCCGGTGGCTTGCGTGCTTGCTTCGTCGGTATGCATCGATCTACGCCGTATTAGAGTGCCTAGATTCGTTGTGCGACTGCCACCAGGGCATCATCCAATGTGTTTCCGCTTGTCAGCTGTCAAGCATCGCACATCGCAATTCCTGGCTTTGCTCGAATTGCCATGCCTCGTTGCCTTGCCCCCTGTCCGGGAGTGGGAACGTTAGCTCGCCAATAACCTTCCCACCTGTATCCCAACGCGGCTTATGCCATCATCGTCCAGGGAAGGGGACTCGTGTGCCTTGCCCTGCCAGCTTTCAGGGCTGCCAGGAGGGGTCCGTCTTGTTCTCCGAATCCTCCGATCTTCCTTGGGCGTCCTTTCAGGCAGGGTCCTAGGTAGATGATATGCCCCAAGAATGAAGGCGCCTGCCCAGTCTGCCAATCTGCCCCATCAACGATCACTGTTTGGTTTTCGCTGGAAGAATCAGAGCCAAATTTCTTCTGCTAGGCATCGGCAGGTGGCACACTTGAGAGCGCGACTTCGGGGTAAAAAAGAAAGTCGGAAGAATCAAAGAAGAAGAAAGGTGCCACGACTCGAAGAGATTAAACAGCGTCCGTGAGCGAGGCTCAGGACCCGGATGGCGCTACTTTGCAGGCAGTCATCCTCAAGCTGAGCTCCGCCTCAACAGGAGGAAGTTAGGAACTTGGAAGGAACTTGCACTTAGCCTTGCGGCCAAGGCCCAAGGAGCCGTATCTCTGGATCTGTCATCAGCTTCAATATTAGCAGCCAAGCGAATTAGGCATAGCGTTCCCCTGAGCGACTGTCTCCACCGGCAGACACGCTCACCATCAGATCATGGCCGCCAGGACATGTAAGCTGAAATCTCTGCCGTCACGACTGGTCGCATTCTCGTAGCGCAAGCCTGCAATGTGGCCGATACGCGGGCGGGCGGTATCAAATCCCTTGCTCGCTGCTCGCATCGCCTTGACTTCATGTTGGCGGTGAGCCGGGCAGTCCGGGCAGCAGAACTGGGGCCGGGTAGATTGATGTGGAGTCCACAATCGGCTTCATTTGAGGCTCGTCCGAACGGATTCGAGACATTTCCACTGAGAACTTGGCAATCGGTCGTCCGCTGGAAAGGTCGCGACCCAATATGGTATTTCGGATGCGCTAAGTCCACTTTTTGAGCGAACAAAGTATTCAGTCATAATTTGGCGAGATGTTGCCCTTACTTCATGCACCAGAGCTATCGAATAAAGAGCGACGTAGGTGCTTGGTAATAGAAGGGCAGAGTTTGATCTTGGCACGATGAAAATTTCCTTCAGCAAGAATGGCACAGAGAGAAGCCCATTGCTGTACACACTAATGCCTGTGTCCAAAAAGGACGGATATCACGAAAGCTGGTGAGTTGGTTAGCAGGTTTTTGTCGCGCTCTGCGAGACGTTTTCCGATATTCGAAGATTGACACGTTGTAAACGCCTCGCACTTGCGAAGCGCCGATTGAGCACGCGCGTCTGAAATGCGACCCAAGACTGCGCTCCTCGTGGGGAAGATCAATCCGAAACGACACCAATGCGGCATGGGGGCGCGACAAATGATGGTGGGATGCTTGGTCTGATGGTTCCCGAGGTTTCGAAGCGGTAGAAACGCCTGGGTTGCGGTAAAGGATGCAAGAGCGCGCCGCAAGAGGATATCGAGGATGCCCATCATCATTTGGAGAGGACACCGCTCGTCATCTCGCTGAGGTTGGCGCTTTGCTGATATGAGAATGACGACGTTGCGAATAATGGAATCATGTCCCACAGCCCACGTCACTTCGTCGGACCAACCGTCCAGTGCAAACAATGCAGAAAATTTGAGGTGGATTGAGGTCTCAGCACCGGTCTTGGAGGTCGGGTGACGGGTGATGAGGTTGTGAGTGAAGGACGAAGGTGCAGTCGATTTGGGAGGCTGCAGAAAATTTTATCATGAGGATGAAAGCAGGTGGGCACGGGATGAAGGGCACAGCAAGCTCGGGAGGTTTCTCGGCCCGACACCTAAAGCCGCCCCGCCTTAAATCCACGGACGCGTTCCAACCTGGAAGTTGCGACGTTGGCCGGTGCACCTGCCTCCTGTCGGAGCTGGGATACCCCAAGCCTCCGCCGGCTCCGTCGCCGTGTCCGATTGAGGAATGCATGAGAAAACCTGCGGGGGAAATTAGTTTGTTGACGATCGCGGGGAGACATGAGTTAGTAACTCAGCTGAGATCGTGAGATCAGTCACTTACTCTCAACGGTCGTTGGTGGTGGCTTGGATCAACCTGACTAAGTAGCTACTTCATGTACCAACTTCTTGCCCGAGTTGAACAGCCTCACAAAAGCACAGCCTCCACAGCGAGGGTCAACATATAAGGTAAGCTGGACGGCCATGTAATTTCTCCATTGCTAATAGTTGCAATTATACGACCTGGTCAAGTGCGTGTGAAGGTCTGGTTACTTTTCGTCCTAAGTCATTCATATGGTCAGCACCCCAAGGATATCCCCTCCGTACTTCGAGAGGAAGAACTGAGGCGCAGTATCTGTTCTTTCCATATTTTGCAGGCTATGAAGGAACTCCTTGCGGGCGAGTTGTTTGTATGCCCAAATTAAGGGGTCCAATGGTTTCAAATGTACAGTGAACTATTGCCTACAGAGCTTCAGTATTTTGTCAACTAATCGATATGACGCATGAATGAGGCTGGGGCTGAAGATTCCGGCCCGTGTGCATGCCAAAGTCAATCAGATGAAAACTTGGAGCTAACAGAACAACACAGCGCTGACTTCTGAATAAGTCGACATCTTATATCGCAATCTTGAAAACGAGAAAGTATTCCGTTTCCTGTCTCTCACATCCAAGGAGTAGTCGCGGATCTCTGGCAATCAGGAGATACACAAGCTCTCGCTCTGCTAGACGCAAAGTTCAACGCCCCACGATCTCTTCCGAATTTATACCAAAAGGGTCATGAATTCACGTTTGGGTCCAAAGCAAGAGCCGATAGCAGTAGCTGATCATCGAGCAACTATTCAATGATGAATGCAAGCAAGCAAGTAAATGGGAAGCGTTTTTTTGCAAACTTTGCACGATCGCCTGTGCCAACTATCACCGTCTTTGGGGTCTAAAGAATTTCGGCACCTCTAGGCACCGGAACTAATCAAGTCTTGGCCTGGAATAGTTGCGAGTCCGGCTTCAGACCAAAAACTCAGATGGCGCAGTGATTGGGTGAGACCTTTTCGCTGCAAGCTGAATGACCGCGCGACGTCTCCTCAAGCGGGAAAATCAGTCGGTGCGGTGTTTTCTTCAATGAAATGTCACCCCTCTTCTCTGATTGGTCAGGATGGAAAGACTCACCTTTAGTAGAGAACCCCCCAGACTGAGGTGTCCGCCTCATCCTATTCTCAGTAGCTCTTATAGAAGAAGGCTTCAAGAATTCCAAAATTGACTACCTCAAAAGATTGAAATACAAAAAAAGTTGTCACCAAATCTATGTTTTGAATTTTCTCTATATTTGATTCTTATTCAAAGTAATGTCTAGTACCTCCCCCAACAATATGCGGGAACTAGGAGTGAAGACGGATGGAGAGCAGGTTGAGAAACCCAGTGATCACGGTACAAATCGAGATGTCGAGCAGCAACAGTCTATCGAATCCAAGCATGGTCAAGACCCTTCAGTATTCAAATCTCTCGGTATTCTGGATCGATTTCTAGCCCTCTGGATCTTTCTCGCCATGTTGATTGGCATTCTTCTCGGAAACTTTGTCCCCAATGCTGGACCAGCGCTCCAACAGGGCAAGTTTGCTGGTGTCTCTGTGCCGATAGGTAAGCTCTGACTTGACCAAATCTTCAACAATATATGCTGATAGACTCTAGCCGTTGGTCTGTTGGTGATGATGTACCCCATATTGTGCAAGGTTCAATACGAGAAACTCCATGCCATCTTCCGTACAAGAGAGATTTGGATCCAGCTCGGCTTCAGCATTATACTCAACTGGATAGTGGCACCGCTCTTTATGGTAAGCCTTCTATCCTCCCAAAGTAATTCCAGATTGCTTGCTAAAACGGTTATGTTAGCTTGCTTTATCGTGGGCGTTCCTACCGGACAAGCAGGGTCTCAGAAACGGGTTGATTCTTGTTGGAGTCGCGAGGTGTATCGCCATGGTGCTGATTTGGACAAGCCTGGTAGGAACCTCATGCGTGATGACTTACACGCCCAAGGTATGCTGACAGTGTTGAGTGTAGGCAAGAGGAGATGGGAATTATTGCGCGATTCTCGTGGCAGTCAACTCTTTTCTGCAAATCGTCCTCTTCGCCCCTGTGGCCCTGCTCTTCATTCGAGTAATCGGTCAAGACCATAGCATCTCATCCATCTCGTACTCCACCGTTGCCTCAGCAGTTGGCATCTTTCTTGGCATTCCCCTTGGCGCGGCCATCCTCACGCGGCTGTCACTGGTCTACACTTTTGGGGTCGACACGTACAACAACAAGATCATACCTTTTCTGGCCCCCTGGTCACTCATCGGTCTTTTGTATACTATTATCGTCCTCTTCGCCTCTCAGGGTTCCCAAGTCGTCCACCAAATTGTCTCCGTTGTGCGAGTGGCAGCGCCGCTCGTGGTCTACTTCTCCGTCATCTTCTCGGCAACCTTGCTTGCCGCCCGCAGAATGGGATTCCGCTACGGCCTCGCATGCACCCAGGCCTTTACGGCGGCCAGCAACAACTTTGAGCTGGCCATCGCGATAGCGGTCGCGGCGTACGGGCCTGAATCGGACGAAGCGCTTGCCACAACCGTCGGGCCGCTCATCGAGGTGCCGGTGCTCCTTGGACTGGTCTACTTCATCAAGTGGTTTGCTAAGCGGCACAACTGGGAGGACTAAGCCGGAGCTTTCGCCAACGGCGCAATGAGACAAAAGCACATGCCGGTGTCATGGGGTCTAAAAGCATGTAGGAGCTAAGGTAGCACGAAAGTGTGCGGTTGATGCCGTGCCGAAGGACCTGAACTACCGATGCTCAATTTTGAGGAAAAACGGGTGCCGTCCATGATGATCTTTCAGAAGCAAGTGGATATCACCGCTTTAATAACTCAACATTCAAGTCGAATTCCCAAGGTTTTCGAAAGTATCAGGTCCATGGTGTTGCGAGACGTCCACTGAACTTGGAATGATAAGGTAAAGATGCGGGGACCCTAGTGACTGAACCCTTGTCGGCCTTAGCGCACGTTGCGCTGCAACTGCCTGAAGTGACACCTCGGGTGCCCCAAGCTCCCTGTCACCGTCCGCTTCTTGTTCCACCTTGGACAGGATCCGTCCGGGTTCCGACCGCCAATTTGAATGTCAACGCTCATCTAGATAACCTACAATCTCCCAATCCGACCCTCATCAACCATCACTTCACGACCGATTCGAACGATCCGCCTCCGCAACGAGACTCGGGTAGTCTGCGACCCCCGTCCTGCATTTCTCATTATCAACTTCCCGGCAGAGCCAAAGCAGCGGGGCTCCGTATCGCGCATTGGACCCCCAGGAGACCCCCGAGAACTATTTCCACGCCTTGCCGGAGCTTCTCTCCCACGATCCCGCAATGGAGTCGCTTCCCCGCGAGCTGATAGATGCGATCCTCCGGCAATGCGTCGCTTTGTCACCTCGAAATCACATCCTGGACCTGCGTCTTGTATGCAGGGCCTTCGACCGCTTCCTCAAGCCCTTCGCATTGAGGACAATCGCCCTCGAATTCAGCCGTCTCAGCAAGAACAGCCGGCGGCGGCAGCCGGATATCGATTCTCTTCAGACAATTGGATACCACTGCAAGTCAATGTACATTGACTTAATGGTATTGCGCGATGAGTGTAAGCTGGAAAGCGGTCCCGCGTTTACGAATTATTGCTGATTCATCAACAGTGGAAGTAGAGTTCCTGTCAACCATCTTCGATCGAATACCCTCGATGAAGCACTTCGTCCAGACACTGCAACGCCAGTACTGCATGTCGCCTGCTTCCTTCACAACGCTGGACTACCGTCATACCCTCGAATCAATACTCTTCAACTGCCAGTTCGTTTCCTCGTTACGCCTGAACCTCCCCTTCCAGCTTGTCGGCCATCGCTGTAATGCTGCAACAATGATCCTCGCGAATACCTTCTCCGCCTTCTCCCGCCGCCCGGAGGACTCTCTTTCACTCAAAACTCTTGTGCTGGAGAACGTGTCTGACCAAGCTATTGTCGACCTCTGGACCAACCCTTCTGATGTTCTTGCCATCATGCGCGCCATCCTCCAACTCGAGCACCTAGTAATATCTTTCCGTCGTCATGAGGTCGACCCTCCACGCGTGGCCTTTTACGGTACTTGCCTGTGGGATCTTGTCCACAATGCTGAAGTTCTACAGACCCTTTGTCTGTCCGGCACCGACGACGACCGTCCACCCAGGGGCCTCAAGCAAACAAAAGCCTGGAACATGACGATAGACGAATGGAGAGCGCGCGCGCTTCCCTCTCCACCGATCACGCTTCCATGCCTGACGGCCCTCGAACTGAAGCGCGTCGAAATTACACCAGATGTCCTTCGATGCGCCGCACGCAACTTCGGCCAGACCCTACGCGAGCTGTACCTCAATGAAGTCTACCTGAAAGCGGAACAGGGGCATAACCTCAACGAAGACTCAAAGGAAATCCTGTGGATCGGTCTTCCAAACCAGAGGCCTGGTCTCCACGATGACTGGATGGCCATGATCATCCGTGAGTCGTGCCCGAAGCTCCAGACGTGCCGTGCTTCGTTCCTCGGCTACGACCTCTACACCCGTGACGATCTACCGCCGTCACCCGCACCCTCGTCCCCCGATTTCGATTTCATTGACCCCTGCGGACTCGGCCGCTCCATCGCGCAGCGCTTCGTCGAAGTGGCACTGGGCTACTACCAGCCGCCGCAGTCGGACGGCTCACCCGTGTCCTACCTGCCGGCTTTGGCCTCCAACGACTACCTCCTCACTCAGATGCGGCCTAGAACGCGCGCGTTGCGGGTCACAGAGTACGACGTGAATGCCTACCAGACGGCGGTGCGGAACTCCACGAGCGGTTGGCAACGCAGCATCGACGGCGTTTTTCCCAACTGCAACAGCGGCACCCTCGAAGAACTTCACTACATTGCCGAGACTGCTTGTCAGGGCATGAATGAGATCCAACGGCAGCGCAATGAACATGCCGGCCAAGGGGAAGGGGGCGAAGGCGGAGCCGGTGATGGCGAGAATGGCGGCGGTGGCGGTGGAAACCTGGCAGATAATCTTCTGAATCTGAACTTTGCGGAGGAGTGAAGGGGATTCCACGAGACGCTGTAGATGGGTTGGGCTACGTAGTAGCTTTGTACGACGTTGTCAACATCACACGGATTTTTGGGAGGCTTCAAAGA